ACAAGAGGGTCATCCCTGATAATAAGTTATAATAGATCAATGGTAGATACTGTATAACTTAAATTAAATAAAAGTCATAAATTATAGATGATTTCTAGATAAAATACTATGGTATCTATAATTTAATTAGGGTTTGAGAGATTTGAATTTAATTCTTAGGGTAATTTTGATAGTTTAGATGTAATAACTATATTGGATGACTATTCTAAATTAGGTTGTTAAAGACTTCTCTTTCTATTAATTTAGCTAGAATCTATTATACTATAATAGTATTGAGGGTTATCACACAATACTTATTTTACATAGCTTATTATGATGATTATTAATTCAATAGTTCAAATCAGCTTGAGATATAGCAAGAAGGGACTTATTTCTGAGTATAATAACATATAGAACTAGTTGACCTAATAGTTAGAATACTTAGGTAACTAATCACTAGAATCAATCTCAAAAAGAATACAACATGTAAAGTTACTTGATATACTTTTAGATTCATATAAATAATTTTACTATATTATATGCGTGATGATTAAAATTTTTCTTAGCGAAAACTAAAATATTAATATATAGTAAGAAGAATAATATATTTAAAATTTTTCATAGATGTTTAATATAATAAAAATTTGATTAGATGTTCTCAAATAGTCATTACACATAATTAAAAAGCAAAATCTAAGCCTGTAATAAGATGTTTTTTTAAGACCTTTCTCTAGAGAGAAAATATATACTTTTAGATATTTCTTAGATTCTTTTAGCTAGAAGTTTTCATAGTAAAAAGAATATCTTGTGTTTATACTTTAAAGTTTAAAAGATTACGTATTTTAGTTTTTATAGTATAATAATATGAGTCAAATAAAGTAATATATGCAATTAAAGTGACTTTATTGTAATTATTTATAATATTATATTTAATTATAGCTCTTAATAATATAAAACATTTATAATATAATAATTTACTATTTATACATATTTAATGAAAGAATCAGAAGTTTTAATCTTTGCTTCTGAATAAGATTAGATAAAACCTAGAGGTTTTGCGAAATTCTGAAAAAGGTAAAACTATATCAAAGCTTATAAAAATGCAAAACTATATCAAAACCTTAGTAAATTTCATAAAACTATAGTTTAATCATTTTATCAAATCTAAAATAAATTTAGATAAGCAACCTTAGTTGAAATTTAATATAATAATTAGTATAATTAGTATATTATAATAATTAATATAAAATAAGTATAAATATAATAAAATTATAATATTAATTTTAATACATATAAATTTTTAACCTTAACTGATTCATATTTTTATAATAATATCTTCTTAATCTGATAAAGAAAAAAAATTTGTCATATAGTATTTTATTTAAATTTAACCTTTATTAGTTGCATGAAATTACATAATATCATGTATTTTTATTGATTGATTTCTTATAATATTATAAAAGATTTTACTAAAAATTTGAAATAATTATTAAATTAAGTAAATTTTATATACTAGTATTATACCTCTTTTGTTTTCAATATAAATAAATATTTATATCACATAATAGTTTGTTAATTATAAATTGTAAAATTTATTAATTATTTTAAATATATAGGATTTTGCAATAGAAAAAGAAAAACAGCTAAAAAAAAAAATGAATTAAAGTTAAATCTAAATATATTTTAATTTAAAAATTATTTGATATATAAAATATAATTATTTTTTTTAATAATTTCTTTTCTTTCTATTGTAAAAGTTTCATATTATTATTAAATATTATAGACTATAATTTTTTATAAAATCTTTAACTATAATATTATATAAATATTATAAATTATAAATCTTTTATAATACTTTGATTATAAATATAATAGATTATAAATTTTATGAAGTATTTTAATTTAGAAATAATAATTAATGATATTTTATAATGATACATAATTTTGTGATAATCATAAATAAAATTTTAAATAATTTAGTTTAATCTAAAGATTTTCAATTCAAATAGATCTAATTTAATTTCAAATTACATAAAAAATCGATTTATAAATTTTAATTTAATTTAGATTTTTTAGATTATAATTTTAATCTGAATCAAAAAAATACAAACTAAATTAAAAATTTTTAAAAATTACAATTAGAATAATTAGAATGAAAAGTATTATTTAATTAAAATGATTAAATATATTATTTTAAATATAAAATATTTTTAATTAGATATATTATTTTAATTAAATAATAAAATATTATTCAATTGGAATAATCAAAAATATTATTCTAACTGAATGATAAAAATATCATTTAATTAGGAAAATATATATTATTTAATTGAATAATAAAGATAATATTTAATTAAAATGATAAAAAAATATTATTCTAATTAAACAATAAAAGGATTATTAATTAAAATAATAAAAATCATTTGATTAGATTAATCAAAAAATTAAAAAATCTTTTCAATTAAAATAATAAAAAAAAGTCATTTTAATTAAGTGATATAAGTATTATTAATTGAAATAATCAAATATATTATTCTAATCAAATTATAGTATTATTTGATAAGAATAATTAAAAATATTATTTTAATTAAATGGTTTATTTTGTTTAGTTGAACTGAACTAAAATTTTTGGATTAATATAAAATTTTATTTTAATTTAAATTTTAATAGTTTACAGTTCAAATTGAAGTGAAATTTTAATTAGATTTGAATTAGTTTATAATTAAATTAAACTAATATCATTTGAAATTTAATTACAAAATTTTCTATTTTTATCATCTAATTTTACTTTTAAATTATTATATTTAATATTTATTAAAATATATAATCTGTAATATAAATAATTTTTTAATATATAAATCTAAACAAAAAAATCAGAAATTATAGATTAATTTTTGAAAAATAATACTTAAAAAAAATTTAATTATATAATAGTTCAAATATAAGTTAATGAATATAACAGAGTATTTTGCATTAATGATTTACTTTTTATAATTATTGTGATTTTTTTAGTAGAATAGAAATATAAATCAAATAATAGATGCATATTATATAAGCAAAAATATTTTATAAAAAAAAATAATTTTAAATAAAAGAAACAGTTAAAAGTTAATAAACATTATAAACATTCTTATTTGCTTTAGAATCAAAAAAAAAGTAATAAAAGATTTATTAATGCAAATATATCAACTTTGTGATAATTATATTTATCTAGAATTTTAACAAACATGTAAAATTAAAATTTAATTCTAAATCTATTTGTAATATTATGTATGGATGAAAGTCATCGTTCAGATATTAAATTAGTATTTGTTGATTTTAGAACAAATTAATAATTTAACAATTGTATAGATACTTCTTTCTATAGTACTTTTTTATAATATATCTTAGAACCATCTATTTTTATCTCTCTGATTCTGCTGCATATATGAAAAATGTTACTGTGATGTTATAAACCACATAAATACATCTTCCATGCTTATACACATACAGTATATTAAATCTGATTATTGAAATTAAAATTTATTATATTATTTATTAATTATTATAAAATATTAAATATTAATATTAAATAATTTTTTTGGCTAAAGTAAGGAATTGATTCATTTGTGAAGTCGCTTGTTGTATATCATTGCTTTTCCGTTCTCGTTGGTAAGAGTGGCATTTTTCTCTATTGGTTAGATGAAGGTAAGAATATCTTGGGAAAGTTCGCGACTCATTGGCGGATTGAAGGTCGTATCATTGAAGAGAACTACGAATTTTGTATACGATGGTAACGTGACTTGCCTGTCCTCAGGAAAATGTTTTGAAATACAGTATATAAGGAATGATATATGGACGTTTTATATAATTTTTTTTCTGGGAAAACTTCAGAAGTATATAAAGTGTTTTCATAACTAATGCGATTCCTTTTAAATATCAAAAAAAAAAAAAAAAAAAAAGTGTTAAAAAGAGTTTATTTGCTGCGCAAACATTCCTTTTAATTCAATAAATGAATTTTGAGCGCATCTTTTTAATCTCGTCCTTCAATTTCCTAAAAAAAAAAGGTGTTTGGGAATGATTTGTTGTTTTATAACGGAGGTTATGCCGATGAAGTTCAGATCTCAACTTCCTGAAATCATTATCTCATTTATTTACCAAAATAAAGATATATCAAACCGATTTATTAAAATGTTTCATTTCACAACAATTTATTAAAAAGTTCTTTATATATATAAAAAAAATATATTTACAAAAAATTTCTATAAGATAATCTCGGGGAAAAAAAATCACTTAAAATTTCTATTATCATACATGAAATTAAAATAAGAAAATAAAAAAAAAAAAGGGATGGGTTGTAACATGCGTATAAGAAGAAAAAAAAAAAAAAAGAAAATATCAGATACTGAACTATATATAAACAAACCAATATTACTACTAATTATTAAATAAATGAATATATAGATATATAAACACCTTCCCCTTTCCCTTTCCCTAAACATCATCATTACAACTATTCATTAAAAATAAATTATTTCACCCATTACTCGAATAAATATAGAATAATAATAAAAAAAAAGAATTATATATATATATATATAAAAATACTTAATCTGATGATTCTTCGTGAAATATTACAAAATTAAAAAATTTATATTTTATATATATAACTTTTCGAAAGAAAAGTGATTTTTTGATTTTTTTTTTGATTTCTTGTGTTAAACACTTTACATACAAAATATATAGAATAATAAAAAAAACCCATCCCATGAAAATATATATAATGCAGAATTATAAAAAAAATATTACAACTATCCAGAGAAAAAAGAAACCTAATATCTAAATAAAGAAAAAAAAAAAATGCTAAAAAATTACACGGATCTTTTTTCCCCGAATAAAGAAATCTATTAGATTTTTTTTTTAAAACCTTCAATATATAAAATAAAAAGTCCGAATTCATTAAATCCATTGTCACTCCTTTGGTATGAATCATTACTACTCCTCATAATTATACAATTCATTATTTTCTCCATACGATTCATTCATTGTTGTGGTTGGCACTCAAAGCTTTGTTTGTGACCATGTTTTTTCGATCCAGCTTTATTCCCCTTTTTAACATTGTTATTCTGCCCGTTTTTTTGTCTTGGACTACCTTCTTGTTGATGGTGATGTTGGTGAAGTTGACTATTGTTATATATCTGTCGCTCTTGAGGTAATGACTGTACTTGTAAAGATTGCTGTTGTTGATTGGAACCATCTTCTTTCTTATCAGCCTTAACAGCATTACTATACTTTCGAGAATTTTTGTTATTGTTGTTGTTATTGTTATTGTTATTGTTATTGTTGTTATTGTAATGATTATTATTCTGATGACTATTATTATTAACACGACCCTTTTTGTTCTGATTCGTTCGTTGAGTGATGCCATTATTAATGTTTCCTCCATTCTTTGGTGGTATTGAATAGTTAATGTTACCATGCTTCGCTTGCGCATTAAAATTATTATTGATTTCAACGGGCTTGGGAACTTGTTGGCAATTCCCATACGAATTATGATAATTATTAATGACAATGGGCGAACGTGAACAATTATTGTTTAAGTTACCACCATTTACATTTCGAATTGTGGATTGGCTGCCACCGTTCACTAATTTTGGACCATTGATATAATTAACGTTTGATGTCTTTGAAAAGTTTGAATCCTTCCCACAGATAGAGTTACTATTGTTATTATTATTACAACCTTTTAATATGTCGCTAAATCCGTTAAGAGCTCTATATCCAATGACGTCGCTAGTAACGCTGTTATCGCACGTGTAATAATTATTATCATTGCTAACGTTTGACATTCCTTGATATCCTTGATCTTGATATCCTTGATACATATGAGAATTTGGATCTGTCACGGATGTTAACTCATAATTAATAAGGACTGGATCTCTACCATTTGATCTATTTCCAGAATTGCTATAACAATTATTACCATTCATGGAATTTCTGTAAACCCAATTATTATCATTATTAGTATTACGATTATCCACCTGCTGGTTATTCTTCTGCTTTTTTTTACTATTATTATATACTGGCTTATTCTGGTTTTGTTGCTGATAATAATTATCCTGATTGTTATTATTACTTTTCTGATGATAATTCTTTGAATAATTGCTACTATTACTATAACTAGTGTTACTAGTATTACCACTTGTTTGACTATTTGAACCATCAGAGGACGATTGATGTGACATTCGCCTTTGGTAATCTGGTCCATCATTAGATTGTTCATGATGATTCTGGAAAGGCTGCTGCTGTGAAACTGAGTTTTGTGGTGACAAGAAACCATTTCCGTTATTCGCACCAGAATACACCGAATCGTTGAATCTCGTGGACCCTTGTAAACCGTTATTGTTACTGTTATTACGTGTTGGTGACGTAGAATAATTTGGCGGAAAAGGATTATTGTTGAATTCAAAATTCTCGGCGGACTTCTGTGACGATTTCGAGTTATACTGCATATGTTTGTGGTTATTACGACCATTCTTGTAATTATTGTTGTTTAATCCTTGATGCTTATGAAAAGGTTTCGGACTCGATACTTGAACAGGATTTAAGCGAACATTATTGTCAAAGTTCGAATTCGACGATGAATCATCAACCAAAGAAATTACTGGACTCGGGCTTGATTCCTCGATTTGTTTGGGCTTGAAATTCTTTGTATAAAAATTTCTCTTATCCGAATCATAAGAATTATTTGAATTATGCAAATAGGGCTTTTGATCCGAGTCGCTAGGAGTATTCGAACGACGTGAATAATTTGAATAACCATTATTATTATTATATTTAACATCCGAATTATAAGGTGAATCCGAATTTTGCGAAAAACTAGATCTTCGGTCCGAACGAGGAGAATTATGATAACGCAATGGTGAACTGCACTGTGTTCGAGAATGCTTCTGATATGAGTTATTGTCAGCTTTTTGGTTGTTATGTTTGTAAAAGGTGTTCGGAGTCGTGTTAGCATTATAATTCGGTGAAAAATGATTTGACGATTCCTCACTTTCAATATCCTGATTCGACTTATGAACAGAATGTGACGGGACTGAATCATGAACAGAAATACGGGAAAAATTATGATCGACGTTGAAAGACCTTGTGTGTGAATACCGTTTGTCATTCTTTTTCTTCATAGAACCCTGTCGATTGAAATTATCGCTCTTATATTGTCTTGTTGAAGGACCCTTGTAAGAAAATTGCTCATCATTTTTCGGGTCCGTAGATGTAACATTATAACGAAATTGAGAATTATCGTGAGTTGTCGTCGGGGATGCAAATGAACTTTCATCGTCGATTTTCTCGGGAAAAACAGTGCGTTCTCGTCTGTTTGGAGGAATATCATCCTCAGAAACGACTTTTTTTCGATTTTGATAAGCATTAAATTTGTCAACATCAGTGTTCTCATAGTAGCCATTCACACGCCTAGTATCCACGTGCATCGTTTCTGATGTTTGGGTAAACTCTTCACCATTAATTGTCGGACAAAAAACATCCTTTCTCGATGAAGGAACATCATCAGCTTGGACAAATCTCGGTGTATTAGGGGCGTTAGATTCATCTCCCTCAACATATCGAGCATCTTGAGGGTAAGAACTTTTCCCATTCATGTCATGAAAATTGTCGATCGTATCACAGTCATGATTCGTCCGCACGCCCTGATGACCATTCTGATGACCATTCTGATGGTACTTATAATGAGGATATCCAGGTTTTCGATTATTCGGCTTCCATACATAATTACTCTTATTGCTACGATAATTATAGTAGTTATTATTATACTGATGGGTGGAAATGTATTGCTCGCATAACGCATTTAAGTTGGCACTGTCATAAAGAATCTTATAGGCCCTTCGGAACTCTCCCTTTAACCCCTCTACGCTGATGTCGTCGGCACTGTTTCCAAGATTCCTTGTCGTATTAAAGGGTTCTTCGACACATAACATTTTCCAACCTTTACACGTGTCCCAACCTTTTTCCGTTTTTGTAAGATATTTGCCATGACGCAACGATATTACGTGTTTCTCATAGTCAAATTCATAAGCCATGCTAAAAAAAAATATATATTTTTTTTTTTCCAAGTTACAATCTATTCATCATAAAATGAAATGATGACTATCATATGCTTACCGTCTAAAAAATCCAAACAATAAACCACCAACTGATTCTTTATTTTTTGAACCAAATCCTTCTAAAGTCATCACATTTTCGTAAAATGATGCATCTTCGCCGTTCACTATTATTGGCTCAACATCATCATGTGGTATATTGTGAAGAACCGGTAGTATCGGAGGATTTCGCATTTGGAGGAAATTCAAAACTATGCAAGTCCAGGTGTATGTTGAGATCGTACCACCCTTAGCTTAATATCGAATATAATGAGATCAGTACAAACATTGTTTAAATGATTTAAAACGAGATTTTCAAATTCACCTGCATCATTCAAAACCCGTTTTCGTGCCCAGTGTTTTACGACCATTGCTAATGGTCGTACTCTTGAATCGATTGTCACATAATTCCGTATTAAACGTGTGTTATGTAGCGCTAGTGTATTATTGATATTTATATCACAGGCCAATTCTCTAACGGAAAAATTGATAAGAATCAGAAATTAATTATCCGGTTAAATTAGCGAAAGAGAGATATAAATACTGATCAATGTCAAAATCAGTTATGATCTTTACAGGCTTGGATCCCATAACCTCACTATCGGCACTTTGGCCTTGGGCACGCATTGTAATATTTCCATGCCGCCTTTATTAAAGAAAAGAGATGAGATGAATAAGGAAACATATGTTGATGTGAAGTTAAACAATGAAAGTTTACGCTATATAGTTATGAGATACTCACGATTTTTCAGGCATTTGGATAAATTTTGCACGCTCTTTAATCCATTCCATTGTGTTGTAACGCATAAATCTACATCAGATTGTGTTGTTCCGAGTAGATTCATGGAGGAACTAAAAGAAAAAGTTTTAAGAAAATAAAAAAAGAAAGATGCCATTTGTTAACTTGATGGAAGGAAAGGTACGTGACCTTTTTTTTTTTTTTAAAAAAAAAAAAGGAAAAAAAAAAATGCATAAAATGATAATAATTACCCAAACATATGTACTTTAATGTCATGTCCTGGCCATTCGTCGTTTAGTAATTTTTCAATTTTATCAGCGAAATCTATTCGTTTATAATCCGAATCGTTTGTTGGAAGTAGTGACTTTTTTATGCAGGGAGGAAGAAAAGACAAAAGAATTGAGCAAAAATAAAAAAAATGAAAAAGTTTGTTAAACATACTACGAATCGACCATTCACGTACGCTCGAACAGCTAACATTGCCAAATGTTCTTGTAATTTTTTTAATTTACTTTTGTGAAAAGTTTGCGAGAGACAACTACCTTATAGAGTAACATTATTTCTTTTGTGAGAGAATCCTCGTTTGGTAATTTAGATATTATGGGCGGTTCTCCCGCACCGCCCGAACTTTTCTCATTTTCGTCGGCACTCTTGCCAACAAGACCGACCTTATCTGACGGATGGTAGAAGCGAAGGTTTCGTGGATAGTTATAGTAATTATAATGTACCATGTTATTATCGATATTTGTATATCGTTCGTGCGAAAGTGTTGTTTATATAAAGAAGTGTTTATGTGTAAGACTTAATATTTAATAAGAGAGAAAATGAATGATAATATCTTTTTTTTTTTTTTTTTTTTTTTTTTTTACATATACATATATCTATATATATATATATATTTTATTTCTTTACAAAATACACCGTCAAACTGTATATATATTAGAATTGAAAATTCCGAACAAGGATACACAGCTAATTTTTTTGAACTGTCAAAGTGTTTTTGAAGTGTAATTTGTAAATGAATAAATTTTTTTTTTTTTTTTTTGAATTTATGAAAGACATAAAAAATGAATATTTATATGAAAATTTTTTGGGGGGATTTTGTTTCTATCGAAAAAAAAAAAAATGATGAATAACTCTTTTTTGTGTACGACCTTAAAACACAGTGTTATACTATGAGAGAAAAAAAAAAAAGCGAAATTCCTTTTTGAATTCTCGAGTTTCACAGTTTCAACCTGTTCATTTAAACACAAAAATGCTAAAACGGGATTTAAGCGGGTTGATCGTTGTATACGTCAGATATTCACAGGTAATTAAAACCGGATTTCTTATTTTGAACAAAGTTATCGAACCCTCAATATTCCTTTTAACACATGAGTAGATCCGCAGATATTTTAGATATTTGATAACTAGACAAATTCTAGTTAACTCCAAACAATATAAATATACCAACAAGAGATTAAAATGTTACTCAAGTAGTCCTTATTTGGAAATAAGGTTAATGTAAATAAAAAAAGAATCTATTCAAAAGAGAAAGTACCGTTATAATGACTCTCTAGCGAGGAAAGAAAAAAAAAAAGGAAAAAAAAGATAGTATGAATTTATATAGCTTATTTTGTTTGTCACGACCAATAAACTGTCACTCAAACGCCCAATTGCTTAATATTTTCTCGATTGAATTAATTGTGTATGTTTGTATGGTTTGACAACTGTTTATATTCGTATCATCGATGTGTACGTGCATAATTGAAAAATATTGACATCTATCGACAATCTTGATCTAGGTATTTATTGGGGTAAAAAAAGGAACTTCATGATAGTAACTGCGCCAAATATGCAAGGTCCGATATTAAGAGGGCAACCTTTTTTTTCGATGGTTGATCGATTGACGATGAATTAAAAAAAAAAAACCTTTTTTTTTTTTTTTGACAATATGCTAACTTACGCAAGAAAAAAAGCCACCATTATCCTTTTTTTTTTTAAAAAAAAAAAAAATCCGGATTATCTTAAAATGTAATGATGATCAACAATCCCCCCAAAACAAATTATGTGCATTCAACTCGATTTTTGTTGTTAAAATTAATTAATATCAACTAATTTACAGATATAATTACCGTAAAAAAAAAACAATTAAAATTTAAATGAATTTAATTTTATTAATTATATCAATTTTGGAATAAGATTTGGGATAAGAATTTAAGAATTTCAAGATAATAGGAGATACATAATAATGCACATTTATTACATATATTGAAGTTTAAATAATCATTGATATTACATCAAAAATTTAAAGCCTCGTATTCAAACGTGAAATTTTAAAATTGATTAGAGGTCAAGAATAATTACTAAAAAAAGTTAAATTTAAAAAGCAAAAAGGTTCAACAAAAAATGCTTAAAGCTTAAATTTGGATCCTAATGATCCGAACCTAATTTTCCCGACTTTCTCGTTGCGCCGATTAAAAAGAGTATACGTCATGAAGCAAAACGGTTGAAACATCACATTATTTACTTTGAATCCATATGGGATTCTTTTTATCTCATCTTTTTTAACCCAATCCTAAATGTTAAATTAGTTATTGTTTGTTTTTTATAAATCTAATTTAACCCTTTTATTTGTTTGTATGTTTTTGCGCAACAGCCATAAAACGGCCAAGGCGCCATTCAATGCCATAATTAAACTCAACATGACATATGGCTTAATTTGAACTACACCAATTATTAAATCAATTAGATCATGACCGACCTCCGTTTTTAATGTTACACATGATGTAAATGTAGGACCAATTTATTAGACTAGCACCATTCCATCATTTTTTGCTGCGCATCATTAAATGTATCCTAAAAATCATTGTATAAAAATTATTTACATAACTTTTTCACCTTTTCTAATAATTTTTCTTGTAAGGGATCATTTAACATGAAGAGCCCTTTTGCAGTGACCATACGATGGGTTGGCATGGGCTGATATGTTCCGCGAACGATTTGCCCATCTATTACTTGAATCATACCAAAAATGTCTTCAGGATATGGTATTCGTCCCCAAGGTGCTGGATCTCTTGCATCTATACACACAAGTAAAGAAGTTTGAATGAGTTATAAAATGGAAATATGCAGTGATCATGAGATCGAACGTACCTGCTACATGAAGCCATCTTATTAATTGTTCATCAATCAAAAAAACTTGTTAGCATAATCACGCTATCCTTAAAAAAAAAAAAAAAAATTGTTGCATGATTTCGAACTTACCCATTCTGATGATATTTCGCTAAACCTTGTAACTGTACATCAGAGTAAACATTCTCGGCGATAACTTGATGAAGAATTTGTGTAAACTTTTTATTTTCAATAAAATGTTGTGGGGTAATTTTGGGTGTATTGTTATCTGCAACTTCTGACTTAAAAGGAATACTTCCTATTACTGTTACGTCAAAAAATTTATAGATTTTGTCATTATCAGCGAGGAATGATAACAAGTAATCGGTTTTATCACGTGTTGGATGATAGTAAAGTCCTTTATAATTCTTATCTTCAATAATCGTTGTTTTATTTGTCATTGAGCGAACGTTATTAGGGTTTATGGTTCGTGTTCGTATTGCTAGATAATTTAAGTAAACATTAGATTTAAATGAAGTTCTCGCTAAATTTCTAATAATCCTTTCCATTACAATTACAAACTATGGTTGAAATTTAAAAAAATTTTGTGAAAGAAAGCCGACAATCAAATGCAATTGTTTCCCACAAACAATTTACAAAATTTTCATTGGATCGGTGAAACATTATTCCGAGAAATAAATCGTATGATCTTGGGAATTTAGTTATCGTTGTATTGTTTTTTTTTGTAAGGATTGATTTCTGGATCGATTTATCCCAAAAATTACTATCATATAATGTTGAAAGGTTCCCGACTATCTTGCTGTTTTAATACAACCACAAATAAAAAAAAGAATATTACAAAACAAGTTATAACGATGGACAGCCTCCGGAGTAAAGATTTGATCATTAATAGCACTCATGATTTCTGTAAAATGCTTGGCGCATGATTTCTTGTAGAGTCTAAGTTAGTTAGATTTCAAACCAAGCTTTTTCTTGTTAACATCAAAGTCAGCAAATGACCTCAACTTGTGAAAACGTCATAATTCTTGACGTACAGAATTGTCGTCATTAAATTTAGAAATTGACTTTTTCGGTTAGGCCCAAATTCATAAGTAGTACGTAATCACGTGACCGATGAAAAATTTAATTTTTTCGGGGATCTCAGATAATCATTAATACGTTCTTCCTATTTATTTTCAAAAAAAAAAAAAAAAAATTAAACCTTTTAAAGGATGGGTTTAGCGGAACCAAGAATAAAACAAAGGATATCCGTTGACCCTAGAAACTTAGCATGGAGTAATGGTAGCGTCTCTTTTAATGAAAGTATCCTCTATAATTTTTCGTCAAAATACATTTCGTTAACTCAAATTTACATTATGATGCTTCCATTAGATCAAGATAAATTTGGTTATAGGATGTTATCAAAGATGGGTTGGTTACCAGGAAAAGGATTAGGTGTAAATGAAGATGGTGCAAAAGAGCATATAAAACTTTCACTTAAACAAGATAATCTTGGTGTTGGAGCCACAAAAAAAACTATTGATAACTGGTTAGATAATTCTAGCGCATTTGATTCATTACTTAAAGGGTTAAATGAAAAACAAGGTAAAGAATGTAGCGATGAGGAAATAAAAGTTAATTCCAAGAAAAAGAAAAAAGATAAAAAAGAAAAGAAAAGAAAAGAAAAGAATAAAAGTTCCTCATCATCAACTAATGACTCAACAGCTAATACTAGTGACTCTGGGAGTTTATCTTCAATTCGTTTAGCGTAAGTAAAATCTTAAAATGTGACCGAATTATTACAAAGATACATATTCATATTTTTTCTTTCTTTTAATTAAATAGGCATCGAGCTAAATTCCTTAAAAGCAAAAAAGCCGCTATACAAAATTCCGATAGATTAAATGAAATATTTGGTATAAAATCAAATAAAGATACTTTTGATGATTTGAATAATATCTCAAACTCGCCTTCTTCAAAAAGTAATAAAGTAATTACAACTATTACGACGACAGCGTCTTCAAGTGAAATTGATGAATCGGATCAGAACAATTCTGTAAAAAGTATAAGGAAAGAGGATATTGTGACTAACGTTAATGAAATGAGCGCTCAAGAATATTTTGCCCAAAAAATGAAAGGGTTAAAATTATCAGGAATTGCGAATAGTGGTCTGTGTAAGTCTTTAAAAACCTTTTATTTTTTTTTCTTTTAAAAAAGTAATCCTTTAAGATCTCAAAATAATTCGCGATCTCTTTTTTTCCCTCTAGCGGATTGTAATAAGATGAATGCTGAGATTGATGAACGACCCAGCTTTAGTATGGGAGTTTGCACGGGTTTCGTTAGTAATGAACAAGACGCGAACATGTCTAATAATGTTTTGAGTTCAGGTTTGGTTGGTAATAGTAACAAGAAAAGGAAACGTGATATTGATATTGATTTGGTTAATAGTAAGAAATCGATTAAGAAAGACGTAAAATCAAAGAAAAAAGAAAAGAAGAAAAAATTAAAGAATCTAGAAAAGGATTAGACATTTAATAGAATAATAGAATGCAATCCAATGCTCAAGCGCGTTATTGGTGATACACTAATAAAGCCATTAAGTAAAAGATATTTTAATAAGCTAGATTCTTTTCAAAATAAAAAAAGAAATTTCATTTCTTTTGATCATTTATAAATTACTTTATTCTTTTGATTTGTGATTTATAAATTTTATCATGTTAATTTACAAAAAAAAAAAAAAAAAGAACGTTGAGTGTACAAAAGGAGAAAAAAATGAAAGAATACATTATGCACTAGAATGTTGTCCCGAAGGAGACTGCAATTCAAGCAAGTGGTCAAGTTGGGAAATAACAAAGTATTTAGCTGCCAACACTTCTATTAAGAATAGTTCCTGTTAGCGATAAACTAGGAATCACAAAAAGACATATCGTACCGTTGACACTACATTTACCAAATATTGCAATTGTCAAAGAGAAATTTAACAAATGTAATTATTAAGGTAACAAAACATAAGGAATGCGTAAATATGCAGTAACTTAAGGTTCGGGTGATCTTTTGATGTGCAACGACACGTGATAATACCATCACGAAAGTCATTTTTCAATCATAGGTGTAATGTTTTGCCTTTAAAAAAATGACGAAAGAAACGAAATCAAGTCAAAAACAGGTAATTTCGGAATAATAATCCTTTTCTCTTCATATCCGATATCGGTCGCAAAAAAGATCATCGTCATTGATGCCTTCTTTTATAAGGAGTTTGTGTTATATTTAACCTGCTGAATGATTTTCATTAAAACAACAATTAATGTGATTATTATCCGCAGTGATTTTCATTTTAGACGTGCAACCCAAAAAAAAAAGGGTCACATGTTACACTAAACAATATAATAGACGAAATTTTTTCTTTTTTTTCATTTTGCTCCGATTTAAACAATCAAATTATGAATGATAATTTCAATCAGATTTCCAAAGATATTGTTGTTAAAGAAGTAAAATCAGATATAGATCATGAATCATTAATCGAAGTTCTAAATGTTAAGTTAACAATAAATGATGATGTAATCGATGATACGACAAAGAATGAAAAACCGAAACAAAGAATTTTAGTTTGTGTCGGGGTGCCAGGATCCGGTAAATCAACTTTTTCTAAAAAATTATGTAAAGTCGACAATGTGAGTAGTTTCATTCGTTATTAATTAATTTGATTTTAGTTTAACAAAATAATAACTTGAATTTTTATATTGAATTTGTAGAATTGGTATAGAATAAATCAAGATGATTTAGGAAGTCGAAGAGCATGTGAAAACGTTTCAAGACTTCAAATCAATAAGGTATCATTCAATATATCCTTGTATTCTCTTTCCATTCTGTATTCTCACATTTTTTCTATCACAGGGAAAAAATGTAATAGTGGACAGATGTAATTTTGACAAACAACAACGTAAAACATGGGTAGATTTAGCAATTCAATTTAATTTAACAATTGATGCAATAATATTGGATACACCATATGAAATTTGCGAGAAACGGATATGGAATAGAGAAAATCATCCTACTAATGTACAGGGTAGAAAAGGGTTAGAAATTTTAGAAAATTTTAAACAGATTTACACATCTCCTGATTATAATGAAGGTTTTGAAAGAATTTTAAGAGTTAAACCTCATGATATTCATGAATGTAATGATAATGATGTTAAAGAAGTTATGGAAAAACTTGATAATATTCCAAAGAGAGTTGTTGAAAGGATACGGGGAAGAGGAGGAAGTCGTGGGAAAGCAATGTATTCACATGGCGAGAATGCTGGTATGTATCGTGGTGGCAATCGTGGTGGAAATCGTGGTGGAAATCCGCGTGGTAGCGGTGGTAATAGAGGATGGTGATATTTCTTAATTCCTCTTTAATTTTTTTTTTTTTTTTATATATCATATTTTAAACAATAAAAAAAAAAAAAAATTTTTTTTTTTTAAATTTTTGTGAAATTAAATGCATAAGTTGTAAAATTTATCCGATATATTATTGATTGCTAAGCAAACTAATCGGAAGAATTACAGTCCGTTGATCCATCTGACTCAACGAAAGAACCAATACATGAAAGAACAAGAAGGTATACGTGTTCCTTAGGTAGAATTTCTTTTCTAGAAATTTTGATTTGTAATGCTCGTGAGAAAAAAAAACCTTCCATAAGGAAATGTATCAGTCTTTTGATTACTAATTAAATCATTGAAGATAATATAAATAGAAGTAAATTTCGCTTTAGATTTCCTATTGTGAACACATAAATCGATTTCTTAAATCCATCTACTTTTTATCATATCCCCCTTTTTCTCTCTTTTTTTTAAAAAAAATATAAATCTTTTGCAATTAAATTTCTTTAAAAGACAAAATAATAAACGATGGTTCTCATTGAACTTACAAAAGAATTTGGATATGTAAGTATTAATTCCTTCTATTATACAACCTTTTTTTTTTTTTACTACCTTTTTGTTAAAATACATTTTATAAATTAAAAATTTAGGTTATTTTGACTGGAGTTGCTTCGGTATTCTTAACAACTTACCTTGGCGTAAAAGTAGGAAGAGCACGTAAAAATGCAGGAATTCCTTATCCTCATGGTATAGTATGTTTAATATTATTTTTTTCAAAATAAAATTAATTTTAATTAACTTTTTTCTCTTAAAAAAAACGATAAAGTTTATGCAACAAAAGAAGAATGCGAAAAAGATGAAAAGAATATGCTCTTCAATTGTTATCAAAGAGCTCATCAGGTAAATAATATTAAAATTAAAGAATAATGGGTTGATTTTCAAATCATCAAATTGGAGTCTAAAAATTTTTGTTTTTTTTATTTTCAGAATACCTTGGAAGTTTATCCCGGCTTTCTTTTATTGTATGTATAATAAATATTGGAATTCGTTAAAAAAAAATTCTTAAGGGATATTATTAATATTCGTAAAAAAAAAAATTTTTTTTTTTTTTAGACTTCTTGCTGGTGGAATTAAATATCCAGTCATTTCTTCGGTTGCTGGTGGAATTTGGATTTTAGGTAACTTTAAATTTACTTTTGTAATAGCTCTGAAGAAATTATCCTAACTCTTCTTTTTTTCTTTGGTGACAATAGGTCGTTTGTTTTTTGCTTGGGGTTATTATTCCGGTAATCCAAAGAATAGATTGAGAGGTGCTTTTGGTTATCTCGGACTCTTTACGTTATTAGGCACTTCAATTGCTACTGGAGTTTCTTTATTATGTCCCTAAATTGTTACAAATGAAATTCAATTAGTATATAAAAGGGTGGTTTAAAAATTTTAAAAAAATAAAAGGAAATAGCTATTATAAAATTAAAGATTGGTATCAAGTGAACAACCAAGTCAAAATTAAATAAATTGCATCTATCATAAGTTTCAGACTTCAACTGTTAGAATTTTTTTTTTTTTATTTTAAGAAACGTTTTTCTATCATTTATTTGTATAAATTACATCGTATCGTATATAGTATTATTTGCTATTTTTATCTTCTATCATATCTTGGGTACGATTTAAATCCAAATCTTTTTTGAATAAATTTATATCATTTATTATATTAAAATCTTAAAATTATTTATACGTTGTTAAGGCTATTTACTATTTATTCAAAGGTTTTAAAAATTATCATAGCAAAGTAAAATAAATTTAAAGATAGATTTACTACAATAAAAGAGTATATTGTTTCTATTATTATATTTTTTTTATAAGAAATTCTTTTACAGTTATAAATTCACCTCTCTTTTTTTTTTTTTCAAAAACACCTGTTCATATTTAAAAATTGTATCTGAATATTTATTTCTTCTACTTATTAGGTTCTTTTAACTTCAACTTAAGATTTATAATTATCTTATTAATTAAATTGTGATATTATATTATTTCAATGGTTTTGCAAACAAATTTACCTGAAATTTATTTGTTAATTATAGTAAATTTTAAATTAATTATCAAAAAATAATATTTTATAATAAAGTTATAATATTAAACATTTTATAATTTATATAATTTACCATAAATTATAATATCTTAAACATGATTATAATAACTATACTTATACTTTGAATTGTTTAGCTATAATACTGTAAACAAATTTTTATATTTATATAATGTTTTATATAAAATATAATATTCATATAATATATTATTTTATTTAATCTAGTAGTATAATTATATATTTAATATATTATATTTATACAATTAAATATATTATTTATATATCAAAATGATTTAAAATTTAAAAGAATTTATTATTAAAATAAATAAGAAAAATAGATATATTATCATAAAATCTTGAATTAATCACTCTCTTTTTTGCAATCACATAATCATTAAAATTGATAATGATATTTATCATGATATTTTTAATTTTTTGTATATTAAAAAAATAATAATAATTTTATTATCCATTATTTATAAAAAAGAAATTTTTATATTTATTATCCATTTATAAATTTTATTATAAAGATTAATTTTTTTTATTTATTATTTACTCATTATCACTGTCAATAAAAAAATATTTTTTTGTATTTATCATTTATTTATTATAAAAATTTTTACTTTTTTTTCTTTTATATTTATATATAAAATTTATTTTTTCCTATATCTACCATCTGTTTATTATAAATAAAAAGAATTGATTTTTATATTTACCATTTGCTTACTATAAAAAACTTTTAATTTTGTTACACTTACTTATTTGCAAATTTTTTTTAATATTTAAAAAAAGATGATTAAAAAAAAGTAAGCTTAAAAAAGTAAATATTATATTCAATTAATAGTAATTAAATATGTTTAAAAAATAAGTAAAATATGTTAAAAAATATTTTAATTTAAATAGTTCAATTATTAAAAGATAAATTATATAAAATAATATATTACAAAAAGAAAATAAATGCTTTAAATTAAAAAGAAAAATTTTAATCTTAAAATAAAAAATCTCTATACTGTTATTTTACAATATTAATAATTAAAATTAGTATTTATATAATATTAACAAAAGATTTAACTTAAATTAATATCTTAAAAAGAACTCTAAAGGATTATATAAATAAGGGTAAAGTATATATGATTAAAGGTAAGCAATTAGAATTTTATTAAAGAAAAAAAATTCAATACAATTATATTGTTTATATATAAAATATTTTAGAATTTATCTTGTTTAATAAATCTAAATTAAATTCTTCAAATTATTTAAGTTTTCTAAAACTTTGTTAATTAGATCCTATAACTATTTATATTTTAATAATATAAAATAATTAATAATATAAAAAAAAAGTTTTGATATGTTCTGAATTTTTTTTTACATAATCTTTGTTTAATTTATTTTCTTTATCTTTGCTATTTCTGTTATTTAACATAATATAATTTTAAATATATGTAT